TTTGTACTCACGCTACACTTCTGCACTTAAATGTGTAGGATCTGAGGCAGGTGCATCTGGATATCAGTCCGGCGCGCACACTTGACTTCCACTTCGAGACTTCAAGCTGTCTTCCGAGCCGTTCTGCAGCAGCTGGAGTCTTTCTTTTATTATATTTTTCTGTCTATTTCACTTCAGACAGTAGACTAGTATTCTTTTGTATATTCTACTAGAATGCCCACACACTTGTGACACTGGGTCCTGGCACACACTAGTAGACTTATAATTTTGGATTATATTTATTATGATTATGATTGCACACAGTTGCTTTCATCTTATCATTTAAAATCTGTCATATCGTAAAACTTTTAAATTAAGGGAAGTTAGTTACTTGAAAAATCTAGTAAAAAATGAAATCATGTGGTTAGTTCATTGTTGGCTTGCCTAGCGGCAACGTTGGATGCCATCACGGCCTATAATAGAATTGGGTCGTGACAGTCGCACACTTACAAGTATTCTGGTCATTGCTAAATGATTAATTATTTTATTGTTTGACAATTAAATTAAAGAATTTAATTAATCAAATAACTTTAATTATTAGTCCAAATGAAATACTATTAAATTCTTTGCTAGCATAGAGGATATAATTAATATTGTGAACAAATTGAAGTTTTATATTTGGAATAGAAATTAAATTATTTCTTTTGGTTGAAATATATGTGATATATATAATATAAATTAATATTGATTTATATAAAAGTTATATATAATGTTAATTTATTCTCCAATTTGGAATTGGAATTATAAAGTTCATAAGGACGTGAAAGTCCAATTGGACCAAGTAGCGTGAGTTGTCTTCGGCAATTCAATCCCTTTGAGAATGGGAATTGAATTTTTATACGAAAATTCCATAAAGTCTATTTTTGGTATAAACTTTTTATCCTAAGTAAATTATTACCCCAACCAAATAGGAAAAAGGTTTATAGTTGATGCATAAAGGGCGATGGAGAAAAGGGTACAAGAAAAATCACTTTGTGAAAGTGAGAGTGCAATACAAAGCAAGAGAGAAAATACAATTACAGAAAAAGTGTTTTTTGTTCTTCTACCTTTGAAATGAGATTTTTGAGAAAAATTTCAACACAATATTTTTATTCAATTTGTTCGGGATTTCATTGATCAAAGAGTTGATATCAAGAATCAATCTCGGCGTGAATATGCATAGAGTCTTCGTACTAACGAAGAATTTTGAAACGAGACTCTCCTTGCCAAGTACGTCTTAGATCTGATCTTTGATATTTAAATAAATTTTAAACACGAAAAAATTTACCTATGATTGTTATTGTCTTCCGATACGTGCTATGAATATCTATTTACAATCCTTTAAGAAGAAAGTGAAAAAGAAAAGAAACATACAGAAGACAAAACGAGGGAGGCAAAGTACGATTTCTTTACTAATACAGAGGATGAAGAGACTGCTACCAAGGATGAAGAGATTGCTACCTACTAAATAGTGTTAGTTCAAAATAGTAGTAGCACAGTTGTTTCGTTAACAATAAAACGGCTTGATACTTTTAAAAGACAGAGGACATCTATACTTTTGAGTGTAATGTAGGGGCGGCTCAAGAACATATCCCCTAAAGCCAAAATTTAATATGGGGTTTAAATTTTTATAAGAAAGTTATAAAATTATTTTTATTTGAAGTCTATTCTTCTAACTTTTTGAGATACAAAATTTTTAATAATCTTTTTTATAATCGATTTTTTCGAATAGTTCCTTTTCATTGATAATATAGCTAATTTATTTTTTAATCTTTTTTTCAGAAATTGTTGATCTCAGATAAGAATTTATAGAGTAATAGAAGTACAAAACTATTGGAAGCTTAAACGTATTGTTGAACACTTGAACTAATGACATCTTGGAGAAAGAAGGTAAGTAAGAATATCAAAGAGACAAAAAATATGTAGGGGTTTCTAAAATATAAAGAGATTGGAAATAAGAAAGATTATTATAAGTTTCAATGATGAAAAATAATATATCACATTTAGTGCAGGATCACAAGGAATCAATTAAAGGATTCAAGAAGCAATACCAGTCAGGTATAGATTAAGGAAATAATCTATTAATGGGGGCTCTAGAATCAACGCAAGGAAAAGAGTCAATGATTAGCGATGAAAAAGGAAGAAGCGGCATAAATCCGGAAGAAGAATCAATTAGTGATTGACGGAAGTTATTAATGGAAGGTCCCAAATCAAAGGGAAACGAGATCGCAAAAGGATGCACTGAAAATCGATGAAGCCAGAAATCAAGGGATCCAACGGATATGCCTCAAGTAATAAAAAGATATGTCTAGCGGATGGAACACTAGTCAAGACCATAAATCAAGGAAGATCAATGGAAACTTGATTTTATTCTTAGAAAGAATCAATTTATGATTTCTTTCGAGAATCAACTCCCTTGGGTTTGCAATCTCTCAAAATTAACGTCATTCAAGAGTCAAAAAGGTGCCATGGAATGTATATATACATATGTTTCGAACTTGAAGAGAACATACTTTGAACGAACATTTTCACTCCTTTTGTTCTACTCCAAACAAGCATTGTAGTTCTTATAGATCTGCTGTGTAATTAGTGAGAGAAAAAAAAGAGATAAACACTGGTCTTGTATCAAGAAGAGAAAAGAGACAGAGAGAATAAATTATTGGTGTAAAGCTACATCAATCATTCTATACTCAAGAAACTTCGATCACTGAAAAAGTGTTCTCTTGCAACCCAAGGGGACTGGAGTAGGATTTACATTGAATCTGAACCAGTATAAAATTCTAGTGTCTTTATTTCCTGCATTTTATTTCTATATTTACGATTATCCTGCTCTTATTTCTAGTCGACTAATTGGTAAACTAGTCAACTACTTATAATCAGTTTTTAAATAGGCAATTCACCCCCC